ACAATTACCATAATTTTCAAGATAAATTTTAAAAGAAAATTCTCGGTGTATATTTAAAAAACTTTATATCCCTGTATAAAAACTTCTATTTGTGACCTCTCTTTCCTATGTGAAAATTTATTACCAGGTAAAATACAAAAAATGGGTTTTCGGTATAAAAGCGTGAAATTTAGTTCGACATTCTTAGAGTAATGAACTTTTTCTTTAGAAATAAATGCGAACGATACAACTATAGAAATAAAAAGGAAAAATTAGTAGAATTCCTATTCTTTACCAGAGCATATCTTCTCGTAATTTAGCAGAAAGATTTTATCTTATCCAAGTATAGGTATATCAGCAATGTCAAATATACAAATATTTTGACATTGTTATTATAACAAAATACATAAACATAGTTAAATACCAAATAAGAATAAAAGATTAGAAGCGTGTCAATGTTGTTACGCTATATTTTCACGATACTGTGCTAATATTATTGTTTCTTTATCCTCTGTTTTATAAGTGATCAGAATATTCTGATTTTAATAGACGCAATTAAAATTACATCAATAATTTCGGTGATAAGAAATCGGACATCAGAGTGCAAGAAAATTGTTATATCATTGTTAATATAACCAATATTATGTGAATATTAACGAATTGATGTTGTAATTAATATAATTAATATATTCGATGCAGTTCAAAAAAATTATATTAATCACAATATGACTCCTTAATATTCACACAATAAATTCTTTCAATTTCTTGCTACAGATTTCTTCAAATTACAATAAAATTACATCAATAATTTCAGTAATAAGAAACCGGACATCAGAATGCAGAATAATTATATGAATTATTAATTGCAGTGGATGTAATTAATATAATATTTGATGCAGTTCAAAATTAATTATAATTAATCACAATATGACTCAATAATATTCTCTGATGTAATTAATATAATATTCGATGCAGTTTTAATTAATCACAATATGCAATATTTAAATTCTTTCAATTGCCGCATATTATTCGACCATAATTTCGTTGATAAAAAATTGAACATTAGAATGCAAGAAAATTGTTATATCATCGTTGCAAATAATCAATATTATATGAATACTTTTCGAAGATCTGATGTAATTAATATAATATTCGATGCAGTTCAAAAAATTATAATTAATCACAATATGGCTCCTTAATATTCACCCAATATTGCTCATTTTCACGATGATGTATAACAATAATCATTTCTTGCATTCTGAGGTCCGATCTTCTTATCAACGAAATCATTGTCGCAATTTTAATTTTAATAAATATGCACGTAGAAATGGAAATACATAAAAAGAGAGAGAGAGAGAGGACTCGAGGTATAAACTTAAAGAGCCACATGCGCCGGGTGTCGATCTCTGCCCTACGTTCTCGAACTCCCGTCCTGCGCTGAATAGCGGCGCATCCACGACGGATGAAAGAGATGGGGCCCGCGAGCAAGCCGGGAGGGTTCGTCGCCACGCTCGTTCGCCTCTGTTCCTATGAACGGGGGGCAGCTGTCTCTCGTTTGTTTCCGCGCGCGCGAGCGCGAGATGACCGCCGACGTCGCCGGCCCTCGACCGAGGTCACTTAGCCGAGAGCATGCATTTCTGTACGCTGTGCGAATCTCCGATAAAGAACACCCAGAGTGCAACATTTTTCATTGACTCATCTCGTTTTTCGACGATAATTCAATTAACTGTCTAATTATTCTAGTCTTAACTTAAAGCCTTTACGTTATAAAAGTGATCAAATAAAGGGGATGTCTTCGTAATATTCTCTATTCAGATTTAATTAATTTTTTTTACATTGCTTCCAACATTCATAAATGTCAATATTAATATAATTTTTATTTTTTAAATACCTAGCCGAGAGCATTTCTGTACGCTGTGCGAATCTCCGATAAAGAACACCCAGAGTGCAACATTTTTAATAGACTCATCTCGTTTTTCGACGATAATTAAATATAACTAATTATTATAGTCTTAATTTAAAGTCTTTAGATTATAAAAATGATCAAAAAAAGGATATCTTCTTAATATTCTCCATTCAGATTTAATTAATTATTTTTATATTGCTTCCAACATTCGTAAATTTCAATATTAAAATAATTATTTTTTAAATAAATACTCGCATAATGCAAACAAATATATGTAATTGAATCCACGAAATGATACAGATTAAAATACACGGGCAAACTATTTGGGGACCTCGAATTCATATGTGTACCGGAAACAGAGGCGAACGGAGCGAGATTAGGAGCACAATCTTCGAATCATAGCAATATGCAAATAATAACGAGTAAAGCGCGAAACGCGTGAACAGACGTGGGGACGATCAAAGCAAACGGAGAGAAAGGAGAGACGTGGGAGGGCACCGACAGGACGACAAGCGTGTACAGGGGCGTGTTCGCGACTACGAGAGACCAGCAGCAGGCGATGCACGCGTGCTGCGTTTGTCCTCGTCTGGCAGTTGCCATGCGAGCCACCGGAGAACCCGCGGGTTGACGTCACCCTATTTCTCCCAACAGGCAACTTAATATTGATAAGTGGAAGCGTGCAGCGTTCCGGGATACGAAAAAAAAATCGCTAGCTGGGTGTCCCAGGGTAATACGCGCGTGACTGATTTTGACCGACTGCATATTCGCGCGCGATAGAAATTAAAGTGCACCGGGATGCATATATGTATGCATAGTAATTATAGTTGATACAACTTGTATATTTTTTACAAATTTAATCCCGAAAATATTCAAGTACAGGAGAGAATTTTCTTTTAGAATTTACTCTAAAAATTATGGTAATCATGGTAAAAAAATCCCTTGAAAATCATGGTAGAAAATAATAATGTAGATAGTAAAATTTACTATGTATGTAGTAAAATTAATCGCACATATTTTATATCTGTGATAGATAAATATTTTCAATTGTGGTAATTATTAATTAGAGAAATTCTTATGAAATTCTTCTATATTGTCCCACGATTACCACGATTTTCAAGGTAAATTCTAAGAGAAAATTCTCTATACAATTCTGTATACAATTGTACATAATATCAAATTGTTGGTTAATAAAAAATAATAAAACATAATTGGGAAAGAGCCCTCTCTTTTTCCCTCCTCCTTCCCCCTATTTAAGGGAAAGAACGATTTTTTTGTATTTAAACAATTGTTAAAAAATTATGCAGTTCTTCATATCAAAAAATGTTATAAGTATATGAAGATTTATCAAGTAAAATTATTTTGTTAAAATATTCTTTAAATATCTCAATATGCAAAATTTACGCGAATAAGTTTAAAAACTTTTATCAACATTCTTATATGTAACAATAAATTTAAGAACTTTAACTGTCATTATTATGCATATCATCTGTTAGACCTCCTGGCTATATTCATGAAATAGTTTATCTCGAAAAAAAGTTGACCCTTCTTTTATTACCCTTTTAAGAGTTATTCTATACTTCTCTTGGTTATTGGATATAAAAATGAGAAAAACAATAAATATCGATGCAATGAAAAAATAATGCAAAAAAGTGTCATTGAACGAAAAACAAGTATTTATAACCGGAAATGTTATAATTTTATCGAATTTTATAAAAAGTATATAAAGGATATAATAAAGAAAAAAATAAAAATATATAATAATATATATATAATAAATAAATTTAGAAAAATGTATCAAAATTATAATAAAATATTATATAACAAAATTTATATACAAAAAATTAAATAAAAAATATCAAAACGCACGCACACTTTATATATGTACATATAATTACATCATTTTTTTTAAATGGGGCTGCCAAGTTTCAGTCCCTCTCGAAATCCGAGATCTAACCGAATGTTATCAACATTTTCGTATATAATTATTTATAAAGCACTTTTTATTAGGCAAATGAAACTATAAGCCATTGCTTAATGTTAATTAATATATAAGTTTCTAATGTAATCGTTCTTTCCCCAGCCTTTTCCCGCCCGAAATAATATCCTAAATACGCCACTAGTTTTGAAAGTATTTTAATTAAGAAAAACTTCCCTAATAATGCAATAATCATATAATTATAAAGAACATTAATTTAAATATGAATATATGACTTTTGACAAGATCTGTTCTTAATTTTGTTTTATAAATAAAAAAGATTGTTTATCGCCACATGTATATATACATATATGTATATATTTCACATAAAAAAAGAAGTAAATATAAAAAATAAAAAATCAGATCAATATCAGATGTGATATACATTCTACAAAAATAGATTACTTTAACAATATAAAAAATCAATCATTCGACTAGGGGACAAATGACACAATAATAATAATAATCAATATCGATAAATCAATATTGATAACAAATAGACCTTTGACACATTGACAAACATCAAGTTCACCTCGAAACATGAACGTCATTGTTTTTAATTTTTCGCATTACAACACGTACATACATATAATTAATAATATAGAAATAATTTCCAAAAAAAAATAAAATTGCAAAAATTTATGTAAAAAATGGAGATGCAAAAAAGTCTTCAAAAATGCATCTCGTGGATTTTTCAATTATTAGGAAGATATCGAGTTAAATAAAATTCTGAATAAAAACTGAATGCATAATTATTCGTCTCTTATTTCGATATTGAAATGTCATACGACATGAATATATCGCTTGCACTTTTCCATTCTTTCCCTTTCCCGCCAAAATATTACGTTTAAGAAAGAAGCACAGCCAAGCTGCTCCCTTCGTTGCACATTTCCTATTTGAATCTTTCTCCCTTCTCTTCTTTCTTTAAAGTCATAATATTGATTTATATCAATTTTAAACATAGAAAATGCAGAAAGAGAGCAAGAGTGAGAGAAAGAAAGAAGAGAGAGAGAGAGAGAGAGAGAGAGAGAGAGAGAGAGAGAGAAAAGAGAGAGAGAAAATGTGTATCAAAACAATGTCAAGATAGCATCGGAAGTCGGAGATGCGCGAGTGTTTACTGCTAAAAAAAAGGCGACTCACCGCTTTCTATTCAGATACATGTTGCTCAATGCTGCATCGTATTGAGGGGACAATTCCTCCTGGACGCGGGAGACATGTAACGCTGGCCGCTGCTGGACCCACAGCAATTTAAACAATATGGCCGATCGCGCACCCTCGCTCCAACGCGAATTCCCGAATCTTGGCCAGCGAAATTTCGTCAGGCTCCTCTTGCGACACTGTCACTGAATCGCCGAGCGCGTTCACTCGTCCACCGCGGACACGTCCGATCGATCGAATCCCGATCGCGTCGATCTCGACGGGAGTTTGACAGACGGGGACGCTTTACGAGGCGTCTCGCTCCCCGCGATGTCGCGACATCACTTTAACTTATTTCGCGTGACGCGCAAGGTAACTTCCCGCGACGACGCACTGTTTACCTGCATTATCGACGCTAACCTGAAGTTAGATTCGGAGCCCCCGAGTTTCTATGTTACCGACGACGAGGAATCCGCCATTTTTTTTCTTTTTTTTTTCTTCAACAAAAATTTCCTTCCGACACAATTAACATCGCAGGCGGATATAAACGACTGTCCCGTTGTTTTCCCGATACGCCATTCAGTTCTATAGAGTATAGAGCTTTATGGATCACAATTTATGCGTAGGTCCGGACCGAAAAAATGGACAATTTATCGAAATAACAACGGAGGTATCTACTACGCGACTACGGTTGAACAACGGCGCGTTGACATGAACTTGCGCGAACCTAGATGCGCGCGCAAACTGTCAAACGTCAAACTTCGTTTTCATTAAAAGACTCGCTACTCGCGCTGTGATTGGTCAAACGCTAATCTTGCGCGAAGAGTAGATTACGCAACTGAATGCGTTTCTAATCATTTATTAGCAGCAGACTTCATTGAATACATACATCTATATTCTATATCATAAACGATTTATCGGAATATTGCTACAAAATAATATATATATAATAATGATAATAAATAATATAAAAATTAATGATTAATGGCAAATATAATATATTATCCAATCCAAATGTATATTAAATTGAGATTAAGATCGAAATATATATATATACATCTTGATTTTTTTTTACTTTTTATACACTTATAATACAAAAGATTATATATTATGCTTTTAAAATGGGATAAAACAAAAAATATACAGAAAGTTAAACTGACAAATAAATCTCACGCACTTATATCGACATGCGTAACCGGCGAAGATTTTCGCGCCAATTTCGTATTTTGTTGATTAAATCAGTTTATTAGTATTTAATAAGTGATCAGCAATAAATATATAATTTAATTAAAATGAAATTCAGATGCAGAATGGTGGATCAAAATATTATGCGAGATTTTGCAAGTAAAATCTCAATTTCGTATTTCTAACCTTGTTGCAAATTTTATTAAAGATAGATCTCGTACCTCGCGTCTTTTCGTTTTCATTCCAACTGTATCTCACGTATATCAACTATTCCTTATTAATCATGATTATATCTATTTTTCCAGCTATTGTCAACACCATATCCCGAATGGCGAAATACTGCGTTCTGCGATTGACACCGGACGAATTATGCTTCAATATCGGTGACGAGCGAATACCTGTGCTCTGGGCTGTGCTTTCTCAACAATATCTTTTTACAGAATATATCATGAACGGAGTTTCGGAACAGGAGAATGAAATTTGTTTGGAATTTGATGCCTCCATGTTTGCCAGAAGCTTAAATAGTCTAAGAATAATGGCAAAGAGTGTTAAAATTAAATTGACAAATAAGCGACAACCTTGTCTCACGTTTGATATTGACTTATCTTCCCTGTCTATTGACTCGCGACAATGTGTACACGATGTGCCGGTGAGGCTTGTACCACGTAAAGAATGGCAAGAACATAAATGCCAGATGTTCCTGAATTTGATGTGAGTATCATAATACAATATTCAATAAACACACATACATCTGATCAATGTAATAAAAATGAAAAAATTTATTTTAGATATCGCTAGAAGTATCAAACTTGAAGTACCTGCGATATGTTGTAGATAGGATGAAAAATATGAGTTCACAAGTGATAATAACTGCCAATAAATGTGGTACACTGATATTAAAAATTGAAGTGGATTATGCTACAGTGTCGACTCACTTTAAAGGATTGCAAGTTTGGGAAAGCAGACAAGAAGAAGAAGAATCTAATGATATCTCTGCGACTGTGAATCTAAAAAAACTTGCAATGTTTTTGGGTTGGGACATTCTCCATCCAGATAGTGTCAAGTGTAACTTATTGCAGGAAAAGATGGTAAAACTGACTTTAGATGTAGGGGAATATGTTAAAATACATTATTTCATACCAGCCATTGCCTCTTAATAAAAAGAACTTAAATTTATATTAATAATATTGAAATGCAAAATATATGTTTATTTTTTTCACTCTTACATTTCAACACATTTACATCATTCACACTCTTCACTCCTCAATAATTGGCATAACATAGTAAATTCAAAAAATATCTTAGAAGTTTATAAGAAATTAACTAATTATATGCTAAATGTAAGTTCTGTTCACTTTCTTGTCTAAAACTTTGATGCATCTGATCAATGTGTTGTATTTTCTGGCTCAACAAAGCTGTTTGCTGATCTAGCCATTGTAAACTATTCATATGTGCATTCAAAATTTTTCCAATTTGAACAATAGGATCGCTGGAGTCCTGAGCGCGATTCGCTTCATTTAAGTGTTCTATTATTTCCTTCAGATCCTCAGACATACGTTTTAATTGAGTATCGAGATTTTCTGACAAACGATAAGTATATTCCCGATCAGAATCCGAAACAGAAAGAGATGCTAATTCTTTTTCTAATGGTACTAAACATTCTTGTAACTCTTTCTGTTGTCCGACCTGCATTAATATATATTGTTATTTTAGTTTATTTATAATAAAATTATATAAAAAAATAATGTTATCTTAATTTATTGTCTTAAATTTTATATATATATATATATATTAAAAATTGTAAATCTATATATTGTAAATGCAATTATGTATTACTTACAACATAATCAAGTTCATGCTCCAGTTGCTGCTGCTCAATTTTTACTCTTTCAACCTCTTGATTCAGTGTTACTATTTTCTCCCCGTTTGTTATTAACAATTTATCCCAAGCATTAATTTGTGTTGCTTGATTTACAAATACCTTTTCTTGCTCTTCTAAATCTAAAGTCCACTTATTAATGGATTCTTCAAGTTGACAGAAATTAATAGTTCCTGATTGAATACCAGTTACAGAACTAACACTGCAATAAAATAGGAAAGAATTTTAGAAGCTTAATAAATTGCATAATTAAATTAATTTTATTATTTAATACGTAAAAATTAATTATTATAAATAAAGCTTTCATGATTACTAATAATAAAGCTACTTACGTAGTGGTAGTACCCAAGGAAGTATGCGTAGAAGGTGTTGCTAGACTTGTTGAAATAGCAGCTGAGGTGGTTTTGCTTAAAGGAAATCCTGCGGCACTTGTTGTCGATGTTCCAACTCCAAAACTAAATCCTGCCGCTGTGGTTGTTGCAAGGGAAAATCCTGTAGTTGCAGTTGTAGTAGTATTATATCCTGTCTTTGCAGCATCAAATGAAAGCCTTGGTGTCATAGATGTTGGAACTGTACTGCTAGGAAGACTAAAACTCGGAACATTCCCTACTTGTTGTTGAGACGTGGTTGTCACAATTGTATTACTAAGACCAAATCCAGTTCCAGCAGGCATAACAGTTGGAGTTCCAAAAGTCAAACCAGTTGCACCTATATAAATGTAGCACATACATATATATATATATATATATATTTGTAATATCCTTCTTGTGTCTCATAAAAAAAAAGGAAATTATTTATATTACACCAAAAAATACCTGTCATCGGTTTCGACGTTCCAAAGCCAAGACCTCCTGTTGTAGTGGTTGCAAGAGAAAATCCTGGAGTCGCAGTTGTGGATGTTTTTGCAGCGTCAAAGGAGAGTCCTGTTGGCGCAACCATGGGCGTTGTGCTGCTCGTCAGATTTGTAAAACTTGGCAGGCTGGAGACTGTGGATATAGATGTTGTGGTTACAGTTATACCACCGCCAAGGCCAAAGCCAGTACCAGTAGCCATGGTAGTCGGAGTGCCAAAGGTCAAACCAGTAATTCCTAATAAAATTAAAAAATAATATGATACAATAAATATATAAATATATATAGATAAGTAAATAAATACAATATAAAATAAAAAAAAACATCAAAGTACCGATAACTTTTCCCTTTTTCTCGAATTCAAAAAGAGACGCGAGAGACGCGTAAAAATTCATTTCATGTTCCAATAAAACACGTTGCTGTACCTGCTGTAGATTTTGGAGTCCCGAAGGATAATCCAGTATTCTGAGGTGTACTCATTATTTATACTTTCGATGTACCAATTAATCTGACAGAACCAGCAATTATCTCTTCATAAACGCAACGCACGAGGTTAAGGACGATTATAAATGAACTATTTTAAAATTACCACCATAAACGTACAAAAACAAGCTAGATGGGCGTCCCGCATGTCATCTCAAATTTATCCAAATAAAATGGACCAATCAAACAACAGCTATCAGTCGACGAGGACCAATCCTGTCACTTTTATTTCTATGCTAGAAATAAATATATAGCTAACAGTCTACATATGTATGTACATTTAAATTATCACGTGGTGTAATATAATCAAAACGTAAATCCGAATCCAGGTTCGTGATAATGTAGATGTAAATCTTTCCCGCTTCTCAGCGGGAGAGCCGGCATGCGAGATCCAGTTGATACTCCTACATCCATAAAAGAGACGAGTTGGAGCCTCCTCACACACTGTCATCTGTCATCGCTCGTCTCCCGAGCGTTCTGCGTTCGGATGAGAATTATATATTCCTACGCCGGTGCTTGGTTGGAGGTTTAGAAACAACGAGAAACATCTTTTCGACTCTGTCAAACTTCTGCAGTTTTATTCTCCGATTTAATCAAGAAATTAAAGGGTGTTTGGAGAAATTTTGTGTAGATACATTTTAAGCCAATTTTTTTATATTTTATTTGTGCGAATAATTTTGTTTGAGAAAGTTATATATGTCGTTTTTTATATAAGTAACACATATTTATCATGTTGCCTCTAATTAATTTGTATATATATTTTTATTTATTTCGAGCTGCAAGTAGCTCGATAATGACAACACCTCCTCTGTCGGCTTTGATAGTTGCGTTTGAAAGTGTATATGATTTATCGTTACTCGCTAATACTTTGTCGGATCAGGGAATTGATACAACATTGATAATACCATCTTACTCTGAAAACGATCTTTATAATAATCTAATTGACGTCGAAGTATTGAAACTAAACGTTAATATTGATAAATCGGCGACTGTTGATAAACACGCATTAGAAGCCTGCGATAGTCTCTTCCGGGATGACGAGATAATGAAAAAAATACGAGAATTTCAACCTACATTCACTATATTTCCAGCATTAAGGTATATCGATTTTAAGTTTTCAAATTTAATTCTTACTTTCATGATTCCACACTAATATATGTGTAAAAATCATTATTAATTAAATAAAATATTAGCATATTAATATATAACATATAATTATAATAATAGGTTTCTTTATGTGTATATATCTTTGTATATACTTCACATCTGTTTTTTCATTATTTTAGACACGATGGCTGCTTGCTTCCATTTGTCAAATATATTGAATCCATTCCAGTAATTTGGATAAAGAACCCGGATGAAGAACTGTATGCATTAGAATGCACTGGAGTTGCTCTGCCGATACACAGTGGTGGATTCTGGTCAAGACTCACAACGAGTTTTGCAGGAAGATCCATATTCTCTGCTGCTAAAAATGACTATCTAACTCCTGCTTTAAAATTAGCAATTAAATATCTACCAGATGTTAATTTTGACTTAGATCATCTTTATTCTGATGTCCGTCTAGTACTTTGGGGAGCTGATACGGTGTTACGTTCCAGTTTTGCAGTTTTATCACAATTACTCGTAGAGGTTTGTAAGATGCACATTATTCTTTATTTATTTCCCTATTATGTGTCTTAAAATATTTCAGACTGTTTCAAAACTATAATTATTTATACATGAACTATTTAAAATTGTTTTAAGCAGGTCGGTTGCCATCATTGCAGAGGCGTACATCCTTTATCCGGAGATTTACAAAAATCATTAATTGAACATAGATTGGGTACTATTGTTGCTCTATTAGACAAGAATTATGAAATACTAATACAAGAATTGGCGAAGAAATTGCCTCAAGGTAGAGAAGGTCAAGCTATTGTGTGGAGAATTAACAAGGGCGAGACAAGTATCGCTGCACCGGAGAATCTTTTTATTCGCGGAGATATTGATCGACAAGACCTCATAGGTGAGATATTTATTTATGCATTAATAAAAATTATCTTTTTTACAACATGTAATACATATTAAAATATTATAATATTCAAAATGGAGATTCTTATGGAAGGGACCTTTAGTTCTCTCCCGTAGCAACACATAATTAACAGGGTGTCTATTCAAATTTTGTAAAAAATTATTGGAAAGTTATGAAGAGTGCAAAATTTTTCTAGCATTTAATATCGATTAATTGTAAAATTAATTTGGACAATAACAAAGTGTGATATATCATTATATCTAAACGTTAATTTATGTGATATAATATAAAAATAGAAAACAAAAATAGTTTATTATAAGCTTTTTAAGGAATATTAATTCCTTTTAATTATTTATTAAAATAAATAAGGAGTACTAATTTATTTAAATATTACCTATTAAAAAATGGAATAATTGTTTATGAAACTTAAAATCTTGATACTGAAATAGATCAATAAAAAATCACATAAAATTTTAATAAAAACTTAAATATTACAAAGTTGTATTGTAAAATATGTTATACATCTTAAGTGCTAAATAAGATTAAAATGATCAAAAGGGCAATTTTTTTAAATTCCTGAATTTCTTGATTTTTCAAGGTAAAACAAAATTCCTTGCAAGTACCAGGTTTTCAAGGTTTTTCCTGAGAGTATACACCTGTAAAAGGAAACAATGAATCGAAAAAATTACTTTATTTTGATAGAATACGTGTCTGGCGAATGCAAGGGTCTCATCAAAGCACCATTGAATTGAATAACCGCAAGGATAATACAGCAAAACACCTTTCTTCAATAATGTCGCTCCATTGTTACAGGTTACAGCCGAACCCGAGTGGTGTTGAGTCATTGTGCCGAAACGGAATTCCTGGAAGTCGCCTTTCACGGAACCCCCGTGATATGTCTACCTAGGGACACGCACGAGTCTCGCAATTCTGCCCGCGCGGTCGAGCTGGGCTTCGCTCGTTCCATCGAGAACGGCTACGACTCGGCCGAGGAGATGGCGAACGTCGTGCACGAGATGCACGAGACTGCAGCTTATCGCGAGAACGCGCGAAAGGTTTCCCTGGCGATACGCGATAGGCTCAATCCGGCCTCGGACAGGCTCATCTACTGGCTGAACTATGTCGCGAGGACGAAGGACGACGACCGAAAGTTTCACAGAGCCAAGAGCCAAACGAGGACGCTCACGGAGGATATTCAGTTCTTCGTGGGTCTTCTGGTAGGCGTGATCTTCGGGATCGTCTCCACGGGCTGCGCGGTGGTCGCGCGATACCTAATGACGGCCAGCAAAGTCCAAAAGTCAAAGGGACGATACACGCGATGATGATGATGATGATGATGATGATGAGGAGGAGCATCATTACAGTCAAGACATTGATGTATACACGTATGTATATATATGTGGACATTTCTGTATATTTATATAAATGCACGTAGAATACAGGTACATACGAATACAAATATTTTTACGAGCTAGGATTTACCTAACTAGTTTTACGAACTAGTTGGAGCGCGAAGAGACGTTATTATTATTATTACTATTATTATTACGAGAATATACTTTTTCTCATAATACGATTGAAAGAACTACGAGTATAATGATGTGATGCATTATCGTGAAGAAAATAAATTACAGTTTGTCAATACTGATTTCTGTATGTTGCTGACATGAGCGTATTTTCTCGTGTTTATCGCTAAATTCTTATAAATATTACGGACGAATCGCGATGTCTACTGCGCTTTGCTTAAGGCTGTATCCTAAACAAATAAGCTATAATAGATATATGCAACTTCGCGAAATAAGTAGTATATATTGATGGCTCATATTCACATGATATCGTAATATTCGCTACGTGATCTTTATCATAAAATTTTTGGAGCAATTTTACATGTATACGTATCGAATTTTGCTAAATATTCTAAACATATGTATTTCTCATAACTAAATATTACATCAATGTTGTGTAAAGGATTTTCTTTTAATATAATTGTATTTGGATATATCATTCTCTTTTTCGATAATGTAGTAAACTTATTTTAGCAAATCGTTGGAGACGTAGATTCGTGTTCGTAAGTGTATTATTGCATAATTTTTAATAGCTACAAGTATAAAATAATAATAATAACAATATATGTCTATGTTTTGTGAAATAATAAGTGCGTTATGCTACTATGAAATTTGTTTGGCCGAAGAAAATGCGTGAACATTTGCTGTGAATATGAATATCGGCTGATTACGGATTAGAGAATTTGTGAGAAATGACTAGACTGCCGACTTAAATTAACGCGGCATACGATAAAGCGGTCATTTATAATATATTATATAAATGCATATGTATATTAAATATATAAAAACCGTGTGAGAGACAGAATATGAGATAAAATCGTGGGGATGGTTTATGTATTTCGTCTGAAGAGAATCGCGAGGAACGCAATAATTTTTCTAAACGAAGCTGATACATAACGCTTATACGTATATACAACGATGATTACGATCTAGTAGAGTCTAGAAAAAATGGTGTGTGAGACATTATTTACATTCATTGGCAGAATTCATTGTTCCCGATTCGTGCGAGTCAAGACGCGAAAATTTTGAGGACGTATTTTTTGCTTCGCTCTCGAAGAAATTGAAAAGACGCCTCGCAACATCGTTCATTTCTCGTGCCCGAATCACCAGTGAATCTTGCTCGTTACTTGAGCAAAATGAAGATTCTACTAGCGCACTAGAGAACTTGTGAGACACACCATGAAAATCTGTATTTCGATATAAATAGGACTACTCGTTTAATCCTACGCGTAATTATACGCGAATGTGTGCAAGAACGCGAAAGAAGTAATCTTTGCGTAATTATGGTCTCTGTACCACGTTTTTGTTTTTTATATTCTTTCGCTTGCTCTTTTTTTATCTCTCCTATCGTCTCTCTGTCTTTCTCTCTGTTGTATACGGAAATAGTAAATTGGCACATCAAGGCGTAAACATGTCACACAGAGAAAAATTTAGATCAAATTTCGACAAAATCATTTATCACTCGATTCTTGCTAATAAGAATACGCATATATTAAGTACACGTATATATATATATATATATATATATATATATGTATTATATGTATGTCTATATACATATATATAAAATACATATATATATATATATATATAAAATAATCGAAACGAGGGATAAGAACTCGATGCCATACAAAATATGCGTGACATGCGTGTTAATGTATTTCTGGAATATATAAATCTTTCCTTTGCGGTACGTCCGAGTCGAGATAATATTACACGATTAAATGTAAATTAAAGTAACACATTGACTTTCAATGCATTAACGTTCGCGTAAGTAATGTGACACCTGACAGTCAAACTATCATGATAAGCCACGCAACAGCGACTGGGCGAGCATTGCGTTACATTAGCCGCACGATAATAATAATACTGAGAATATCTTGATCATTAGGGGACTTTCGTTCGAACTTCTTTATAGCGTTCTTTATAGATAGAAACGTATCATAGCTGTTTAAAAAAATGATCTTTAAATCGATAGATCATATGTGACTAAGTGAAGCTACTTTTAGCAAAAAGTATAATTAAAACATCTGTTTTTAAATGAAAACATGCGCATGTACCGAATTATAATATACAATTATTCGAGTTATTTCTTGTCATATTTCTCTCATTTATCATTCACAATTCTTTCCATATATTTGTTATAGTCTCTCACAGAAACAAATACTTTTACGTCAAGCGTAAGCAAATTTCAAAGTATTTGCCTCAATAAGAGCGTTCGCCCTGCTTCGTTCGCGCGATCAATAGTTGCTGAAGAATTAAGTTAGGCGAAAAACAGCATCGACGTAACATATCGTTGTGTAGCCTCTTGCGGCATCAACTGATGAGGATATACAACGTAAAGCGTGTGGCAACAAATTAATTACGATAATTATAACTTAAAGAATAAAACGTGAGCGCGTTCCTGCAGATAGGCCGAACGAACTCCATTCGGAATGCATTTACGATTCTAGTTACACACATGCTCCTCCCGCGTATGTCGACACAACTCGCACTTGACGTGACAGCACCAGACGAATCGGCACTTGCATTTCTCAGTGACGTCTCGCACCCGCGTCTGGTAGCCCCGGCCGCAGCACAGCAGCCGGCATCCGTCAAGACCAAGAGACGTCCGATTGCATATTCTTCCTCGTGTACCGGGAATGCTGAGTCTACAGAGAAAATTAAATTTACTGCAAAACCGTGTAATAATAATTCGTAAAGATATGAAAAAAATAATATAGACAGCAGCGTCGAAGCAAACAAGAATTTAATTCCGTAGACAATAAACTCTTTCCATTTAAAATTTCATTTATATGATGAAATAATATAATAATATATGAAATATATGACTATACTTTCTCTAAACAAATTGCTTATGTATTTTGTAATTTATATTACAAATTTACTGACATATAAGAAACATTTAATATGATATATTTTACATCAGGCATAAAATGATACACATTTCTTTTTTGAACATTAAATGCATATAATAATAATATTATATATTTAATTATTACTTATATTACACTGTTGCAGAATAATATTAGCTGGAAGTTTCAAGGATTGAATTGGCGGTGTTTTTGCGCAACACGAATTAGACTCACGTGAGATTCCTCTCGCAGTAATCAGGACTGTCCTCGAGATAAACTAGATCCGTCTTGTTCGGTCGTTTGAGATCAGGACGCGCCGGTCTGAGCCTAGCTGGTCTTCTTCCACCACGTTGAGCCAATCGTACCAGAGCGGCACCCTCGTGCAAAGCTGCCAGAGCAACTCCGGCCATCCTGAATGCCGGAAGTCTTCTCCAGCACACACGCACGCTACACGAACCGGACATACCTGTCGCGTTAAGAAAAAAGGGAAAAAGAAAATAAGAGTGAAAGAGTCGTTCGATAAATGAAGAAAGAAGGATTACAAAATGCGCTATAATATACATGTAAAAATTATGATGTATTATATTTGAGGTAGAGACAGATACAAGATTTTTTATTAACGTCTTGTTATACCCACCGTGACACTTGCATACACGCTGCATCCTAGAGCGAATTGCACGTCTGCCTGCTTCGCTATCATGTTTCCTCATCAGCTGACCAGCCAGCCCTTTTGGCCCGTGCAGGACGCCTTCTTTCACCGGTTCCTCTCCACTGTCAGACCAGTCTCGCGAAAACTTTTCACCAAAGTGTATATCCTGTACATAACAAATCATACGTTTTAGTACAGTCTATATATTTAATACAAATTTATATATATAATAATCTAAGTAACGTTAGCATTTCTCTATGTTAAAAATTTATTATAAAATATATGTACATTGTCAGAGTCGTCTAAAAAATCTGAGAAAGAAAACTTCTCTTAAGATTTTCCTTCCAAAATTCTTGCATTCTGAGCTTTAACAATAGTTATAGAGATTAAGAAAATAGATCCTAAACTTGCTGAGAATTTTGCATAAAATATAGTAGTTAAAGACCTTCAGCTTTGTAACTTCTCAGAGGCAGCTTTAAACACGATATTCATGGTAATAAATGTGTAATACGTGGTATACAAGTTTCAAGTACAGTTAAATGCATAACTTAAATAAATACACCCGTCATTAAAAAATGTATATTATACAATATAAAATTGTATTTAGCATTTTGATAGTTAAATTATGATTTCCTTTAAAAAATATTTCATATTAAGTATTTTAATATTTCAAGAATACGTGTACTTTATCTGCTTTCATCGTTTTCTGATACATGTCAACAAGCTGAGATTATATACCCTGCCCTCTTTGCTTTCGCTGTCAGATGCTGTCTAAACGTAATCCTTTCCGTGAGTAACGTCATTCTCCCTCCTCAAAGGGCACCACACACGTCGACTTATCGATGACAGCCTTCTATAGTCAAGTAACCGAAGAAGGGTGGTCTTTAATGGTATCGTATTCTTGATAATAAATACACAATTCTCGAAGTTGATTTATACGCTATAAAATAATGACTATATAATTAAAACTCGCTGTTTCGAAATTTCACAAAAAAATATTTTAATACTTAATTATTATTAATATTAAAATTATTATTATATATTAATAATATTAATATATTATTTATAATTATTATCAAAAATTTTGAATATAATTATAAATATGAAAAAAACTAACAATTCCATTATACACAAAGTTAGACTATTTCTATTCATTCTTTATATATCACATTTACCGAAAGAATATTTTAAATTGTTCTTTTATACTAAATAATTTGCGATAAATTCGCGATGTCGTTTTTCAATTTCAAATTTCGCGACTAATCGCGCCACCGTCAAATAAGCAATCAAATCGCTCGTACGTACATACGTCACGTCGATTGTTAGTGCAAAAGCCTGCGATTGGTTCGCCGCTTCGACGTTCGACTTTCGATATTTCGAGAGTGCCAATTGCGATTCTCGAAAGCAGCATCAGTAGTAAAACGCGCGAGGGACTGAGTTACATCGGCTCCGTATTTATCGCGATTATTAACGCGTTTAAAAGTGTTTCGGAGTGCTTGAATGTGCCTGAATGTGTTTGAAAGTGCTTTCCACGCGAAAGAGTGCCGGGAATCTCAGTGATGAAGTGCAAATGTTGCTTATGTGCTTGTGATATACTACGGTGTTTCGTGATTTCGACATGGATTACCACTTCTGCGGGCTGCCGAAAACGGGTCGGATTATATCGTGCCTTGTTGAAGTGCAACAAGTGCACGACCAAGTACGTACATATATCTCATCGATTTCTCATTAATTGCGCTGATATCATTATGTGTAATCTCTAATTGGGATATGTACATATGTATAATAATATCGTTGAATCGCCATTGATAATTTTATCGATCTGATAAAATAACAGAATTAATATATAAAATCCTTAGAGTCTTGATTCTACATCGAATAATATATTTCTCATGATATGATTTCTAAATTAATATGATATATTAAATATCTCGTATTGCGATTTAAACTGACTAACAAAAAAATATAATGTACTGTAAATTTAACGGACTAATTTGAACCGATGCATATTCATTGTCGCGATGTTACCGACGATCAATTATACGGAAATTTTTCTATTATCCTCTGAGTCAGCAGAACTCGGTGGGTAATTATAAAAATGTTCCCGGTCGATAGGGCAATTTTAAAGCAAACCCTCATCCTGAGCACGCCGCTCTGACAATGAGAAATTACGAGATTAACTATCGTTATACCTCTAAGGATCTGTCACTAGTTACCCGTATTTGTTCACACGAACTTACCCTCGTTAAGATATATCCGATTCCCCTACAATTTTTAATGTTTTCTTATAGTTAGCTCTCGCGGAGAAATTTTTTAACGTAATCTCGTCGCGTGGTGCTTCTTTGATAAAATAAATAAAAATATAATAATAAGAAAAATTATTTTAATTTTATTTTCTTCTCGCAACATGAAGTGTAAAAGATAGGAAAAAAAACGTTAATTATGGTAATAATTTATGATAATCAAATTGACAATGATATGCTTTTAACATTCTTTATGCGATTAATTCGTAATTAAAAAAAAAAATGATTACGAATCATTGTTATACTAAAATTTAAAATACATTATACGATTTCGAGATATTTAAATTCGTGTATACCCTGATTATGTGACAGTATATATATACGTGTATTCACGTAATTATCTCTGCACGTGTCGCGCGTTTACATGAATACGCGAACTCGTCCTCGCGTTCAAGTAAGTTACGTGCCCGGATTGTAGGGGAAAAGAGCGGTGTGGGTTGTTGCAACTTAACAAGCTTAGCTCCCTTAATCCCCTTGTAAGCCGGCAATGTCTACAAGGGGTCAGCCGTTCGCATGAAACGCATCCGTTTACCGTGCTCGAGCTTTGTCTTCGAGCTAGTATAGTATTAAAATTCGCGTCGTAAGAAACGCCGGTGAAAGACGACAGGGAAAGAGAAAGAGAGAAAAAATGTCGGAGAATTATTATATTGATGCACGCGTCTTAATCATTTGCAACGCGATCTTCAGACAAAATGTGTGTGTATAAATTAATCGTATCGAAATATAAAAACTTTCGTTGTTCTAGTATAATATAAAATATATGATATAAAAATTAATAAATTATTATGTATGGTGAGGAGAAAAGAGATGCATCAATAATTAGACAATAAGAACATAGTATATATGGTATATGCAGGGAGAGAATTTTTCATTATTTTACCGCAAAATCATATTTAGTATAATAATGAAAATTACCATATGCTGCTAAAATATGCTGCATTTTAAAAGTTATATAAAGTATTTTATACGTTTTTAATATAATTTTAATATATTTTAAAATTATTGAAATTCTACTATATATTTCAGTAAAATTAATCAATATTTTGTATCTCATTGTGATAGATATTAATACTTTTTTATTGTAATAAATATTAATCAAAGAAACTGTTATAAAATTCTTTCAATACCATATATTGTCTCACAATTTTCAAAATAAATTCTAAAAAAAATTCTCTCTGTGAATATAAAAATGAAAAACTAAATAACACTCTCACCTCGCTGCATCCTCCCCATTGCCAATTGTTCGGACGTCGTGATCTCACTCGATTGTCGCAGGAGCAATCGGTGAGTTCGCCTCTGGAACAAGCTCTCGTGACGCTGTAAGCGACCCCGGCTGCTGATACGGCATATATGAACGCGGCCTCTCGACTATCTGCAAAACGTACGCATATTTTTTTTTTCGCGTTGCACGCTATATAAGTCAACCACTCTGGGCGGGATACTTGATGTTACAAGTGCGAGGCATTGCGCAAGTAACTCTAAGAAACGATACATTCGACACGCGGTTCGTCAAGCATCGAACCGTGAGCACTTACTGACTAACGTGACGCCGCCAAACACGTTCTCGGGATTTTCCGGGCTGACTGAACAGTTCCATCTCGCTGATCTAAACTGGTGCTGACACTCCTCTATGGCGAGCCTAGCGCCCGCGCTGACTGCCTGCAAGTAAGACGGTGAGAGCTAAGAATATCAAAAGAAATGCCGCTTTGACACGAGAAAAAAATATTAGCTGCCATAGAAATTCAGGCATGATAATTAAATTTCAGATGTAACATAGAGATCATTTAAAATTTTTTCCGTGATATATTTAAAAAATACTTTCTCGCTTGTTTTTGTTTAATTATTAATTTATTTATATTTCTATAATAATTTTATACTAGGATATTGATCAGTAATAATAATTCTGTATATATAAAAAAATTATTAAAAATCCAAATTGAGAGAGAGAGAGAAAATATTGATACAAGAAAATATATTACTAAAATAATAAGAATTTAAATATTTATTAGATTTTTATTAAAAAAATATCCACTGACTCTATTAATAATTTTAATTTTACAACCAATATTTTCTTTACTTTATCACGCGAGTGTAATTAGGAATTTAAAAGCTACTATATTCCTACTGAAAATTACTATCTACTAATTAACTGTATATCATAAAATTAATATACAACTTTCTCGGCTTAAAGTTTTAGTTAAAGAACATGCAAAAACACGCACCGACACGATGCGCTTTAATGTCCGTGTATAAATCGCGGCCAGCAGACCTAGCAATAACCATCGATATCAGTAGACATTCCGTAGGAACATCGACTGGAAAGCGTTTTAGCCATCTCTTAACGGCTTTGGTCGCTCGTTAAAAAATTAAACTCCGATAGTCGGATTGACATATGAATATTCATGCTGCGGCCCTTTTTTCGTCGGTAAAGCCACACTCGGAAAAGCGGGATCCACTACTGTCGGCAGTGTTCAAAGAGATATATCGTGCCTCGAGTTTCTTCAGGTTTACCTAGGTACACACCTAGATAGATTTCTAGACGACCGTTCTTTCTCCCCCTCCTCTTTGTTCCTCCTGATCCCTCCGACAAGTTTTGTGCATTAAGGAAAGGTAAATGCGATTTCGGGGCCGCGTGAACCACACAACGTTCGACTCGCTCGTTTTGTCACGTTCGGTGCCGAAACCAAAGTGCATTAATGCCGATCGGAAAACAAATTGGTTGCGTTTAAGAAGTTTGTGTCTACCGCCGATCCTATTGTGTCATGAATGTAGCGGTAATTCTTTGTGTTCGTATATATATATATGTATCCCGTCGCGAGAGCGGTACTTTTACATTCCTCTACGTGCAGAATCACAATTAGATTTACAAAACGTTTTGTTTGAATAGATAAAAGAATGTTTAAAAACATACTAAAGAAAAATTTAGCCAATAGAAAAATAAGATTCTTTTTAGCATCGTGTCAAATTTTATTATTTTTCATAATAAAACAAGAGAATAATATATTGAAGGAGAAGAACAATAATGATATTCTAAACAATTGTGCGTTCTAGTTACAAAAGATTCAATCTCAATAAAATATCTAATTGTAAAATAAACAATAGATTTTTTTTATATTTACGCTTATTATCTTTACATATAGCACAATGATTCTTTTTTCAAATTTGTTTTTCTTTCAAGAAAATTCAATTTCTAAGTTTAAATATATATATATATGTCTAGTTTGTAAAAAATAAATTTTTTAAAGATCCTTTTTGTGAACATAAAAAAAATATTTCCTTATTTGTTTAAATAAAAATTTTAACGATGTTAAGTGTCCTATTTTTTGATTCGTTGGAGTTTTACAAGACTTTTTAAATTTGTTTAGAACAATGGCAAGCAAACTATAAATTGAAAGTAGCATTAATATTCTCTAAGTAGCCGCTCGATAATTTACACACGCGGAGGTCAAATTCAATCTTAATAAATTATTAGAAAGGAAATTATCGCTACGCAGAGCGGCAACATAAAACCTATAATTTTCCCATGATTTCTCTTAGAAATGCCTACTAATGCTCGCTAATCATGACACATTAATTCATTTATTACGCAGAGGTGAAATCTATCTACCGAAAGAGCTTTCTCAGAAGCGATTTGAAAAATTTTGGACAAATCGAAACGAAGGTCGGCCGAATACATTCGTTCGGCACGCTGTCGTAGGTCCTGCGAATCGAATTAGCCGCGTGCTTCCCCGGGCATTAATCCGAGAAAGAGAGAGAGAGAGAGAGAGAAAGAAAAAACCTGAGAGACCCTTCGGCCCGCGACGAGGTAAATACCTGCAGAACGGGTGGCGAGCGGGAGCATATTGCCTGCTGCTTGGCGGTCAGGTGCGCGTTCTTACAGTTCTTTTCGGCACTCGCTGGACCGATCACACCCGCGCCGGCGAGCTGCGTCTGCGGATCGACGCCGCTCCCTTGAATCGAGCCGGATGTCAGCCTCGATTCCAGTCCCAAGTACCTATAAAAACCAGAACACACGCGCCTTTAAATAAACGTAATGACGCGGCTATATATACATATATATATATGTTATGAGTGATTAATTTAATTAATTTTCGCTTCATCGCACACGTCGAGGTGCGCCGCTAAATAATAGGTCATCGCGAATGAACGGCGCATTAAATCTATGCTTGTTATTTCATTCCAATGATCTATAATGATATTTCGTCTAACAAAGAGACACGGTACTATTAAATTTTTAATTTTATGTAATTAACAAGTAGTCATAATTATATAATTTTACCGTGTATAAGCTTAAAAACGCGACAGTCGTCCTTCGTTGCGAAAAACGCTTTTAATCGCCGACTCTGATTTTGATCGTCCGGATCCAAGGTAAGTCGGCGCCGTCCGTTATCGAGAGAACTCGGATCATCTTACGGGATACGATAAAATATCTTACAACGATATATACACGACGGAATGAAGAACCGCGCCGCGCGAGCTACCGACACCACCGAGAAGATCCTCGCTCTTCACCTATATAATTAGAGCAGGTATTCGGGTGAAAATTATAGAGAGGAGAAAGAGGACGGTAGAGGGCCCGGGAGGACGAGATACGGGGGGTGAAATGCGGGCAGGAAGAAAGGGAACACAGGATACGGGGAGCACGAGAGAAGCCGTAGCTTCGTCGTGAACGAAGTCAGAAGGAAAGCCAAGTAAGCGAGTTTAGGCTGTTCGACTAAACTCTCTAAAACTAATCTTACTCTAATCTGCTCTTAAAGCCCCGTTTTATTTCCTTGATTAATCGAGGGATCCCATACCGATTCATGCATTTTCCTTGTTTCTGAATATTTATATATATATATAAATAATATTTTTTTTACAAATTTAATAAAATAAAAGAGAAGGATATTTACTCTTAATTATATTATTTTAATTATTGAAATATGTCACGAATAATATCTCGCAATCTTAACTTTAATGTGATAGATTCTCTAATAAAGTTAAAATTTATTTTAGTCGTTTTTTAATATCAAGTTTTTTACTAATAAACCTCTGAAAGTATAGAGCTTTCTTCGAATTAAACTTCAACGAAACGAAAAGATACACAGAGAGAATTTTTTCTTAGAATTTATAAATATAGTAATTTACTACATATGTACATTACAGTAGTATTACAATAATAGTAAAATTAATCGAACATATTTTATATCTTATTATGGTAGATGTTAATATTTTTTATTGCGGTAAAGATATTAATCAAAAAAATTCTTATAAAATTTTTTCACTACCATATTGTCCTACGATTACCATGATTTTCAGGATAAATTCTAAGAGAAAATTCTCTCTGTGTAATAAGACCATATTTTTTAATAAATTCAACATAATTTTATTTTGATAGAATGTTAACTACATATCGAAATTATCAATTAAGACTATATAATTTAACAATTAGTCGATTCATTTAATTTTTAACGTGTAGCTGCAATCGTTAACCCGAGCTCAAATTAATTTACTGATAATTGCGTCGGTACCTAATTTCATTAAATGTAAATCGACCAGACAACTGCCTCGACTTCCTTACTTTGGTGCCCTTAAACGCCCGGCGATCTCGTTCTCCTAAAAGCCTCGAACACGACGGCTCCACACTGTTTTCAATTCTTTCGGCTCGAGGGGTTCGATTAGTAGCACCGTACAGACACGGACAACGCTCGTTTACACGGTAAATCTTAATGAGAATCGAGGGTGTGGTTTTAGGGCTCGAAAGCGCTCCCAGCTGCCCTTAGGATACGAACGGGAAGCAGACGGTGGTCATGGTGTATCGATATAAGAGAGAGCGAGGGTTCGTTCGAAAAGTGGCTAAAAAACGCATTCGTTATTTGAAATGATAATTCACATTGCCGATATCCGCAACAACTGAAAATGTAATCCGCGTGTACAATTTTCTTTAATCTTTAGAGACCTAAATGATATAAAAAAACATATCTCTGCAGGAAATTAATTCAAAAAGATATGAGGTTTCTTCATTATTGAATATTTTGTTACCGTAATCATAATTAAAATAAAAACATATATTCTTTTCTTAAGTATTTAGAAAATTAGATAAATATTAAAAAATATAAAGTATACACTAAAAAATATTTAATTATTCAAATAAATATTTATTTCAATACTCTTTTATACATTCATTTGAAATTAATAATATTGATGTGTAAAATCTTACGGAAAGAAACAGTGCAATCATTAAGTTTGAAATTATATTTTTCGAAAAGATCACGAAAGATGTAACCACTTTATCCGCGAACCGGATACTTTCGTTCTCATCCGCTGGCCGTTTCCTAAAGCACCCGTCAGTCGTAAAGGAGTCGATGATAGTTCGTCCAGGGCGCAGCTCTCTCTCGACTAGGGGCTAGCGACGGTGCGTGTAACGTTTATTATTTATTTGCGGCCGAGAATACAGACGCGGTTGCCGGCATCAGCAGTCAGCGAGAGACTCGTCAAGACTCTCTCTGGCTCTCGACCGGCTATTTCAGGTTTGTTTGGATACGGTTTACGACCCTTCCGAGAGCGCGTTTTACGGATACTCAGCGCGGCGAGAGATCCCACCCCGTTCCCTTTTTCGTTTCGGTGTGTTATCTTGTGTACTCGGAGATGTCGTGGCGGGATTAACCTCCGCCATATAGCGATCGAAACATTCCCCAACAGGCGCGCTCGATCTCCGACGACGAGTCGCAAGTAACATGAACGCGGCCGGCGGTTTCTGTGGCTGCATCGCGAGAAACGGTGTTTACGATAAGGATAAGTCTCTCGTCAAACAGTCGATTCCTCTCCCCGATATAGAATAAGTCTCGTCCGATATTGCCGTCGAGATAAGAAGAAGCGAACGCTATTTCGCATAATCGCTCTCGAAGAACTCGGAATCTGATACTCTTGTTCTCTTGTATTCGGTAAAAATGTCGAATATATATTTCTGTATTGTCTCGAGTATATCTGACATCTAAAAAAAAAAAATACAAAGAAATTCTAAAAACAAATATTCTTCTTTTGGAAATATATGGATATCGTGTCTCTTAAAACACCTAAGACTTATCGTCGTCAGTTTTTAACTGCTTGGCGTCGTATCTTGGCTTCAAACACTTTAGGCTTATCTACAAAAATTTTTTATGCTTTAATGACGTTATATATAGATATTCTTCACAGTTCTCGAGAAATTCCCACTTTAAAATAATCTATGCTGGAGATGGTAATCGACGGCATCTAAGCGGAAGCGACTGATTGTTCGGATAACGGATATATAGTTTTGCGGTGAGCACTCACAAAATCGATATCGGCCGATCGGTTAAAGCGGTCAAGGACATAACAGCCGGGGAACAAACGATGGGGAGACCATCACTTTCTGCTTATAATCTTTTGTCCCTAAAAGAATTGACTCACTGATTGAAAAAATAAAATTTCCTTCGATAACGAGAATTTTACGAAAGTACATTTACAATTTCATCTTTCATTTGTATCAAATTTTCTTTTCTATCCTAACAAATTTTGTATCGAAAATTGTTATAAGTTTAAAAAAATTCTTTTATAGTTTTTTCAAGTTACATTTTATTGGAAAATTAACGAGACATTTCTTGAAAATATACGTGTCGAATATTTTTTTGTATCACATGTTTCTCTCATCAGAAAACTTGTTTTCCAAAACCAATATTTGCATCGCAAAGTATACACAAAAAATTATGAATTCCGGGTGAAAAGGGATAAACACGTATACGTAAAAGAGACAAGCGCGCGTATTGAAAGAAGCTGGGGGGTGGCAGAGAAATGATAAAAGGGCAAAAGCAGAGGCAAAATAATTGCACAAAGCGCCGATATGAAAGAAATGAAATCCATATTCAGGTTCGCCAGGATGTATCCGCGAAGGAGAGCGGTTTTCTCCTCTCCTATTCATCCGCTCTCGAAATGGAAAAAGAGAAGCTCGGAGACAGAAGGAGAAAACGAGGCGATCCCGCGCGGTTCAACGACGAAACAACTGCGATTATTATATTATTACTCGAAAGCGCGGTATCGCGTTGCCGTCATAACCACGTCGGGGCCATGCTTTGTTCGTGTGACAGTGATAGGGCCCATTTATGTCGAGAACACTCACTCACAGCCGCCGATATAATGGCCGGATAAATCCTACGAAAGCCTACAATACGTCGTAGGTACGTCTCGTCGGTATTAACCCCCTTCATCCCTCTCTCTCTCCCTCGGAAGAACGACGAGAATGGAGGGAGGATATGCGTCAGGGTGAACGCGAGCGCGAACCATTGAAGCGAGCGCCAGTACACGATCCGAAACTTTGCCTCATTCTAATTAGTATCGATTACCGAAAGGAGAGTCCCTCGTGCGCTCGTATACGCACTCCTCGATCTCACCCTCGCTGCGGCAACGAGCGAAGGGGAACAGGCAGCATACGTGTGTATATGTATATTCGCTCGAGGATATTTGCCCGCGGTAATTTTTCGACCGCGTCAACGGATTGACTTGACCTCCGCAGACTGCGGTATACAGCTAATGTGAGGGGGCACAGGGGATAAACCTAGGAAGGAAACCTATCGTTCCCTCGGGCGTATTAGCTAAGGGAGCGCTAATTAGGGCGGTTAAGATAGGAATGTTGTAGCGGTCTGCCTACAAAGAATTTTTTTATCTGACATTTTTTAATGAATTCGTATTTGGATGCGTGGATTTTTAATTTTCGTTCTTTGAAGGAATATTGTTGGCTAAACGAAATTGCGGATTCACATTTTTTTTACGTGAATTTAAATTAAAATATAATCAAACATTGTTTATTGCAAAAATTTTAATATTTTTTAAATATGTTCAAATAGAATAGCTTTAAATAACATTAAATAAATTTTATTTTAACGCAATTAATAAAAACGCAGAATTTTTCGATGATGTATTCATGTATTGTTTTTTTATTTATTTTAGTTTTACACAGTAGGAAAATCTGTGTTTCACTTGTTAAAAACGGTTCCCGTT